AAGTGTTCCTCATCGCCACCATCAAAAGTTCACAGGTAAATYTTAGTCCTAATCATGTCTTAGGGTTTATTTGACACAGTCTTTTCTTGTTAAACTGTAAAGGACATTTCAGTTATACGTTATAGTTATAATGCTAATAAAATACGAATTAAACCAAGTTATAGATCAGTTATCACTTTGATCAGTGATCAGTCATTTTGGATTCAACAAGTTGGACCCTAAGGTTGAAAGGTTTGAGAACCCCTGGGTTGAAGAGTTACCAGAGAACTCTTTAATCTAGACGACAGGTTTGAGATTTACATGGGTAACTCTGGAAATGACCTGCTCCGTTTAAATTAAAGCCCATGCAAGTGGCTACAGTAGTTAATTGTYGTGAACCGAAAAATAGCTTTAACTTCTTTTCAATTTTGCAGATATTTAGATAAAATTCGGCATCTCATTCCGTCTGCACACACCCTCAGTAAAAAAGTAAATGTATGTAGTATTTCTTACCCAAGTGCAGGCCTGCACACCCTATCAGATAATTAAAATCTCGGCCCTGCTCAGCTCTGATAGACCTTTTTTTGAGCTGACATTTCGGGTTGTCAGAGACGGAAAATAAAAGTGAAAATTAATAAGGTTTGTTAACGTTAACGCTGACTCAGTTCTATTAACTGTCCCATTAAACCATAATCGTGAACCAGCTCGCTCAATGAAAAGAGCTCTTATTGCAGGAGAGCCACCATCTTATAGACCTCTTCTGTTCTCAAATAAAACTGGCTTTCATCAACAACATATTTTATCTGAAACTAAGTAAATTACTAAAGAGTCTGAACGGATACTTTTATTGTGCGGCCTGAAGACAGAGCTTTACTGAGATGTCTTGTAATTAAAATACCAACAATCTAAGATTGTCTGTTTGTACYAAACAGGACATCTACAAACGCTTGTATAGAACTGAGAGTGAAGCATCAGTAGTGATGGGAACAAAGACATTATAGAAATGGGAATGTTAACCTTTTCTACTAAGAAATTAAAACAATGGACATCTTAAACCAAAGAATGCATCAAACTTTGAATAAAAGTAATGACAACTAAGAACAAAAGGTTTTAAGGCAATGATGAATAAAAAGCATTACTAAAGATGGCAGAACATCACATTTGTCCTGTCTTTCCTTCCTTGGGCAGATGAATCAAATCTTATTGGTTTTACAAAATTAATGAAGATCCTCACAGAAGCCAACAGGGATAGCTACGAAAAAGCAATAGTCATTTTAATTATGTACAATTACCCAACACTAAGCTCAGTTTAATTAAAAGTTTTGCTGTTGTCTTTGTTAAGTGTGCTGATAAAGCACAACAATGATCAGCCATGGCCTGGATGACAAATATATATCTTATCAAAGTTAATAAACTTTTTTTTACCAACTAACTCTTATCAAGGGAATATCATCACAAAACATAAAAACCAGTTACCATTAAAAAGCTTTGCTCATGGACCAGGATTTCTCTACTTAGATTGAACCTTATCAACTACAAAAATGTCCATTTTACAGACGTGGYGCTAAAATTTGGGGTGGTGGTAGCTGAGAGTCACCCCCAACCAGAGCTGGACTGGGACCAAAAAATGGCCCTGGCATGTTTTGGTCATGGTGGCCCACCATGGTTATTTATAGGATATTTGAATGGACATGATACCAGAGGATAGATCTGCATGTTGTGTTGTTTCACAAGTTAAAATAAAGCAGGTAGGGGTCTCTGCAGTACATGTAGGGTGGAGATGGCCCTACTCATGATTGTCAGATTGACTTGTCTTGTAGGGCAACTTTAAAGAGGAAGTAATGATCTTTAGTAAAATAATATGATTTATTGACTGTTGAATTATTGTGAACACGTAAACATAATTTATTGACTTCAGATTGCATGTGACAAGCACCTTCCTGTCTCAAATTATGACTAAAATTAATCTTAAAAAGATAGGTGCTTACTGCCTCCGGCCCGACTCGTCCAAGCTACTCCCCACTGCCCCACAGCTTCTTCAAACCCCACCAATCTGACCAATCACAGCTTGGGCCAACTCCTCCCACAAAATAAGAAACTCCTACTTAGTGACTGCAGAGATCRGCTTCTCAAATAAAGGGCAGCAGCCTACGAGGAAGAGAGTAACCATGTGGAGGTACCTGATAAAAACTGATACACTCTTTCATCTTGCAGAGATCAGAGTCATAAGTTCCATCTTCAAGTGCAAGTGGATGTCAAAGAAACACTGTTTGATGTCTTTTCAGTGTTTTATGAAATATATCATTCATGCAATTACACAATTATGCCCATAGTAACACCATATATACATGTAAAATAAAGAGCACCTCATCAAAGTGGCACCTTGAAGTATGAAAAACAGATTGAGAGAAAAAATGCAGAGACGGGCAAAGGAAAGAAAGAGCAAGGGTCAGCTGAGGTAAATAATGTTTAGGTGAACAGAGTGATAAAAAATATTTAGTAAACTGATGTTGCTTTTTCCTCCTGATTTAATTCACTAATTAATTATGGTCACTCTGATTTTTACCCTTTTTCCTGCGGTTTCTTGGTGCCCTTCTTGCATTCTGCAGATTGTCCATTGCTTCCTTCTCTCCAACTCAGTCAGCTCTAACTGCAAAATCTGATTACTTTGGTCAAAGGGGAGGGGAGGGGCGGGCCGAGAGATTTCACTGGATTAGCTCATTTTTCTTCAAGAAAATCAACCAATGGGCTGTTGCATAACTATAATATAGTTATTTGGTTCCTGACAGGCCTGGGCTGGCCCATAAATGAATGTTGGCCCACTGGGCACTCATTCGCCAGATGGTCAATCCACCCAGGCCTCAAACATAAAGTCTTAGAGCTAACACGTGAAAAATATTTAKCTAAAACTTTTGTATTAACTTTTAGAGTGAACCTTGTCTTCTATTAGCAAAATATCTCAATAACTAATGGTCACATTTTACAAACACTGTTGTAAGGCAATCATTTCCCAATAAGAATCAGAAGAAGATGTAAGGAAAAAATTTATATTTTCATAATTTTACAAACGTCTTTAACTGATTAACTTTTGGTGTAATCTCGATACAAAATGCCCCACACAGCAAATACAAAAATGTACATTTCAAGTTATTATATTAAGCTATAACTGACTGTGGTAGTAGCTGAAAGTCATCTCCATCAGAGATGTAACTAACAGTTCTAACACTGTCAGCACTTGAAGTTAATGGTAAATTTCTGGGACATAACTGGGTTTTCCAAATGGACAATGACCTTAAACACACAGCTAGATTAGCTGCAAAGAGGCTTAACAACAACCAAGTCAATGTTTTGGAGTGGCCATCACAAAGCCCTGATCTCAGCCTCATGAAGAAGTCTGCAGCAAAGCTGAAAAGGMATTTGTGTAGTAGCTGGTTTTTTGTTACCTTTTATGACCCTTTCTGATATAAATACCTACCTTGTCAGGACCTTTACTCCTTTTTGGGACCAAAAACTGGTCCTAATATGGTGGAACACTAGTGATGGGTATGAGGTCAGGTTTTGATTTTTTGTGTGAATTAAAAGTGGATGAAATCTTCATCTCCATAAAGCTTTTCAGCAGATGGAAGCATGAAGTGCTCCAAAATCTCCTGATAGCTGCATTGACCCTGGCCTTGATAAAACACAGTGSACCAACACCAGAAGCTGACATGGCACCCCAGACCYTCACTGACTGACAACTTTTCTTGTTGTGCAGCGTTTTCTGCCACTTTTTCCTTCCCACAGACTTCCCACAGAGTGCTGTATCAAGGCACCTCAGTGGGAAGTCTGTTCCATCTGCTGAAAAGCTTTATGGAGATGAAGATTTCATTTTTCAGCACGACCTGGCACCTGCTCACAGTGCCAAAACCACTGGTAAATGGTTTACTGACCATGGTATTACTGG